ATTTTATTTAATATTGCCCTTTTATAATAAAATGTGGTTTTCTGTTTAATTTATGTGATTAGAAAATTGAGCACTCTTTCATCACTGAAGGCAGACAGCAACAACACACTCAAGAGCACACACATTAGCTGTAGTGGGTTGTCAGAGTCAATGAAAGGAATATCTTACATCTGAACTCCACACAGAGCAGCCATATGAAATTGGAAATAGCCCAGCTAAAGAAAACCATATAAGGAGAGGAGCATCCCCAAAAAGCCATGAAACACACCCTATGCTCTTGACTCTGAGGCTGGCCACAACAGGTACCTCTGAAGATCTATTCAGTTAGATTTGTTTCTTAAGCTTGCAATTATCAACTTCAGGGTTAAATAAAAATCTAGGAAAGATAGGTGGCATATGCCTATAATCTCAGCACTTTGAATCAAAGGAAGTCAAGTTCTAGATTCTAGAGATGAAAAAACTGAAGGTCATTAAGTGACAGATGAACTAGGGAAAAACAAAGCAAGAAAGTCACCCAAGAGGATTCATTAATTTACCATTTCCAAGACTAACATTTCTAAGGGAAACCATTTCAGCTGGGAGATAAGTCCCTCTGAAGATGTGCATAGAAGGAAGAAGATAGGTGGCTAAGGGATCAAAAGACAAAGTAGTGTTCATCTGCATATGACGCTAGCTTACTTGGGACCCTGGGGACATTTAAGTATGGCACAACAAGACCCTTTGAACATCTTCAACAATTCAGGCAGCATTGGTTTCTCTTCATAAATGGAAACGGGAATAAAGAACCCTGGTATTTCAGACCCAAGAACATCTGAAACAGAGAAGCTTGTGGATCTCCTTCCATATAACAGCAAGCAGAAGCTGTTTCTATTACTTCTTCTCAGTGTGAGAATAGGAAAACTATCTTCCTGCTACATAGGAAATTATCCAAAGGCTCTTAGCTCCCTGCTGTATCCATTGCCATCACCAGAGATCACTGATAGATAAGAAGAAATGGAACTGCCCTGACCCCTGACTGGATGAACTCAGGAGGCACATCACCAGCTTAGCAAACAAAGGAATTAAGTGCTACTGAAGAAAAGCACGTCTATTCTCCTTCTTATACTGAAATATCCTGTCTCCAAGTAGCCCATGTGAAGCTGAGTTGGTTGGACAGCTAGGAATCTCAGCACTCAAGGTTAGAATTTGTGTCTCTTTTAATAAAATGTGGCATTTCTAAGCATATCATGTCAATAAAGAGTGTCCAAAGTGAAACTTAAGGACTTAACTATAATTTCCTATTCCCTAGTGCTTTGAACTTCATTTCCCTTTTAATCTTTCTTTTTCATTTTTAAATATTAAGAGGATAAGGACCTGTCAGAGTTTTGAGGCACATAGAAGAGGTTTTAGGGGACAATGAGCAGAAAACATCACATACACATGTGAAGTTGTGGAAACAACAAACTTTACTTTTAAAATTACCTAATATTAAAAATTGAAAGCAGGACTGGAGAGATGGTTTGGTGGTTAGGAGCACTGTCTGTTCTTGCAGAGGACCTGGGTCCAATGACCAGAACCTACCTGGCAGCTAATAATTGTCTGTAACTCCAGTTGCAGGGGATCCAACATCCTCTTCTGACCTTTGCACTGCAAGACAAAGGAGCACCTACCTACATGCAGGAAATACACTCAGACACATAAAATAAAAATAAAATATTTTTTAAATTGAAAGAGAATAAACTGGGATAAATATCCAGTGCTATAATCTAGACCTAGGTTTTACCTAGTAATCTCAGAACAGGTCTTTAGACACTGAATGTTGCTGGCTTTTGATAATCTCTATCAGGTAAATGAAAAAGTCACCTGTAATGTATCACTTCACACCTGTGATTTATGTTTTGAGTTGACTTCATTTGTACCAATACTTGATGCACAGCACACCCTCCTGTCAGTCTTAGACCCCTGACTCTTCCTTTCTCTGTGGGTTTGGGAACCGTGCACCAATAGCAGCCTTCCAGAAAGGAAGCTCCTAGTCGTTATCCTTGGCCCTCGCTATCTACTACAAATGCTCTAGACTTACAGGAGGGAAAGAAGACACTAGGGTCAAAGACAGTGTTAAGGTAGAATTATTGGGTCAAATTAATATACAAAATAAATATTCTTTTCTTATTTGTCATAATTTCTCCTAAGCAGAAACAAACTCGCTTTGGGGGAGAAGGTGCGCATGTTTTCTCACACACATATTGTGTAATAATCTGGTAAAACAAATAAATATGCTCACATGGAAGGTAGTTTCAACACTAAAATCAGCACCTTCTCAATACAGTGTTTCCTAGTTTCAAAAGTCAATAATCCTGTCTTAGATTTATGGAGAATGTGAGGCAGGATAGCAAATGTAACTAGTGGACAAACATGTCATCTTCCCATGATATTTGCTAAAATAAACATGGTTTATGAAATGTAGAAAATGAGCTAAACAGTTTGGCGCTTTCTGAAAATCTGAGAACTTAGGAGGTTGTGGGAAAAAGTTCTTCAATTGAGGCTGGCCTGGACTTCATAAGAGACCCAGAATCAAAATACGCTACTACAAAAGGAAATGTGAAGAGACAGCTCAGCAGTTAGTAGTACATACTGATCTTGCAGATGATTTGTTTGATTCCCAGCACAAATATAAGGTGAAGCATATTTTTTGTTAACACCATGTCTAGGAGGACATAATTCCTCTGGCCTCTCTGGGCACTTTCACATGTGTGTACATACAGACAGGTAGATATGTACCTACAAGATTTTTAACTTTTAAAAAATTTATTGAGAATTTCATACATGCATATAAGGTGTTTTGACAAAATCCATGCCCCCTCCCTCCCCCCCAAACCTTTCCATATCTCCCTATCCCTTTTTTCCTGAAAACTTGGTGTACTTTTTTTTTTCTTATGGGGCATTTTGCTACTCTAACATTCCTCCCTCTGAAGAGGTAACCTTAAAATCTTTTAGGGATTGAATAAGAGTTCCTAAATACTTTTGACATTTTTGGCCTTTGGAACAGAGTATGTTGCTAAGAGGCCCAAGGACATTTTGACTTTTAGCCAAGAAATTATTTGTTTGTTTGTCATCTTCTGGTTGCTGTTTTGAGACAGGGTCTCCCTGTAGCCCCAGCTGTCCTGGAACCCATTATGTAGACCAGGCTGGCCTTGAACTCACAGAGATCTTCCTGCCTCTGCCTCCCGAGTGCTGGGATTAAAGGTGTGCACCACCACATCCGGCGACAAGTTATTTTTTAATAAATCTTTAAAAGAGGAAATGTGAAAAAATCAATAGGAATACTTAATTTTAATCATAACACTACATCATTTTGGAATTTCATATTAAAAACATTTCTTTGCAGAAAATCAAATGGATATTTATCCATTTGCCAAATGTTACAATGTTGTATATCAGAATATTTCTTTAGTCTTGAGAGATCATTTAGTCTTTCTGGAAAAACACTTCAGGATTAACGTCCTAAGTAGTATCTTTGTTAGTGGATTTCCTAATGTATAGTTATTACTATATCACCTGTTTTATACATAGATGGATATTTTACTAAGATTCAATTAAATATGAGATACTTGAAAAACAATAAGCAAAGATATTTACCAGTAGAAAAGATATATTATTGGAATCGTTTTGGGTATCCTAAGGTACATCTGATGTTACAAAACTAGAGCCCATGTCAGCAAAACTTCATTGAGCTGTCTGTTTCTAGACATATAAAGAATGCAGCACTGGAACTCCACCTTGGGAAGTAGCTTCATCTTGGTGGGCATTCTGGATGGCAGTAGCTTTCCTGCACTGCTCTGTGCTACAATCACTGCCCTGTACTGTTTAGCCCTGACCAGCAATGGACTGCTGCTCCTGGTCATCACAATGGATTCCCAGCTACATGTACCCATGTACTTCTTGCTGGGGCAGCTCTCTCTCATGGACCTCCTTCTCACTTCGGTCATCACTCCCAAGGCTGTCATGGATTTTCTGATCAGAGACAACACCATCTCTTTCGGTGGCTGTGCTCTTCAAATGTTTATGGAACTGTCGGTGGGTAGTGCAGAGGACCTCCTTCTGGCCTTCATGGCCTATGACAGGTATGTGGCCATTTGTTATCCTCTGAACTACATGATTTTCATGAGTCATAGAGTCTGCTGGTCCATGGTGGCCACAACATGGATCCTTGCATCACTAAGTGCTCTAGGATATACCATCTACACAATGCAATATTCCTTCTGCAAATCCTGGGAAATTGGACACCTGTTCTGTGAGATTCCTTCCTTGCTGAAGTTGGCCTGTGCTGACACCTCTAGATTTGCAAATTTGTTTTATTTGATGGGTGGAGGCTTTCTAATTCCCCCTCTTGCTGTTATCCTGGCCTCCTACTCACTAATTCTGGTCACTGTGCTCCGCATGCCCTCAAATGAGGGCAGGAAGAAAGCCCTTGTCACCTGCTCTTCCCACCTGACTGTGGTTGGGATGTGGTATGGGGCTGCAACGATCATCTATGTCCTACCCAGCTCCTACCACAGTCCCCAACAAGACAATATCAGCTCTGCCTTCTACACAATTGTCACTCCAGCTCTCAACCCCCTCATCTATAGCCTGCGGAACAAGGAGGTCACTGGGGCTTTGAGGAGAGTCCTGGGAAAACGATTGTCGTCAACACATCCCATCTTCTAGGAAATTCTAATAGCTACCTTCTAAACTTGGTGTCTCCTCAAAGTCAGAAGTTTTCTGATATGAATGAAAAACTCTTGGTAAAACCAAGATGATAAAAAGTATATCTTTTGCTGGATTAGTATAGGAATATAAGTATCTTTATTAAGTTCTCTTTGAATATGAATATTATCTTCATGAACTAGCTTACAGAATAAAATTCAGTTAAAAGTTATTCTCTGTCTTTAAAAGTCAGACTCCATTTTCCAATTTAACTACTTAGATAAATGGGTCTAAAAGATATTACTACCGGAACAGGACCCCTGTGTATTTTAAGTCCACTTAATTAAGAGCCAGAGAAAATATTTTCCACTGGGTGGCTCACAAATCAATGAGAGAGAATGCTTGAGTCTTGCACAAATTTTAAGCAGTTTAAACCTGATAAAAATGTGATATTGACCATTGAAGATTTGTCTAATGTCCAGATAGAAGTTTTCATTGGGCTCACTCATCCTCTCTTTCTAAGCATCGACTTTTTTTGGTTACTCAGACAATGCAATGGTTAAGAGTGTGTGTTTATGTGCATGTGTGTGTGCGTCTGCATGTGTTCTATGGCACTTTATCCTTTCTTCTTTTTTTTTGGCAGTGAAGGGAATTATAGTAAACAGTTACCATTCTAGCCTGTGAATAAACAAACCAGACCTGCAACTAAAACAATGATTTTCCATTTTTCTGAGAATGTTTTAAAATATCTCAGCAATTTCAAAATGTTTACAGTGCTTGGTTCACATACCTGACTTAAATATTACACTATTTTTGCATGTGTCAAAATATTATATGATACCTTTTTCATATGCATAATGTGTATGGGTTTATATTGAAATAAAATACCAGCTATAACTACCATCATCCATGCCTCAACTCTACTATTCCTAGGCACATATTTAAAGAACTCTACTTACAACTACAGAGACACTTGTATATCTATGTTCATTGCAGCTCTATTCACAATAGCTAGGAAATGGAGGTAGCCCAGCTGTCCATCAGAGAATGGATGGATACGGAAAATTTGATATAGATGCACAACAGAATTTTATTCAGTTGTAAAGACAAATTTAAAAATCGAATTTTCAGGTAAATAAGTGGAACTGGAAAAATTATACACATAAATATTTTGAATGAGGCATCTGGAATATGTGATTACATCATATATACTAAATGTTACATGAAAAATATGCCCTGAAAATTGTATTAATATATTGCATCATATGGAAGTTTGATAATGTAACTAGTTATTTTATCATCATTAAATATGCAATGTTTTATGTGTGTTTCTATGTGTTTATATTAATTAGTAATGACCATTTCTTGAGCATGTGACTAAAATTTTCCCTGAGGAAAATTCTTATGTGTTAAAATCACAAGGTTAAAATCAACCCATTGTTCTTAATATATGGATAGGATGACTTGAACCCAGTGGATGAACTTGCACTGAGCGACTTCAGGGTACACTAACTTTACTAGATAGGCCTTAACATAAATGACAGAATGCATGAGATCTAGTGGGGGAAATATGGTCAAGTGCTGCTGGGGAAAGAGGTATAAAGAGGACTAAGATGTTGTCTATGAAATACACAAAAATTCAATGAAATCATGCAGAACCTCATGGGCAATGCGATCATGAGAATATTCATTGTAAAAAAATATTTCATAATTTGGTCATTTTTACAATGTTCAGTCACGCTTACCAGAGCAAAATATACTCTCATGGTTCCCAACTTCACTCGTGTTCGTTTTAAGTGAATATTTCAGTGTTGGTCTTATATGATGACCTGCTCCCATACTTCATTTAGAGCAGAGCATTCAGCCACAGGCCTCTCTCTTTCCCTCTTCAAACCTCTGGAGCACCTTCCTGCATTTGTACTTGAACAGCTTATATTGGTTTTCCTCATTACACTATAGACTCTAATTTGTTTTCCCAAATATCCTTCAGGTTAGTTCATCCACTGGGGCCTGGATAGCCTACTAAGAGTCACATCCTTGAAAGAAAGTGACTCTGTACCACCCAGAAGTCATTGATTGCCAATAGTTCCTTAATACATGGTCAGTTATTCATAAGTTTTCTTGATATTTGGGGTTTCTAAGTTCTTTGTTTATTTGAGATTTTAGTTCTCTGACATATAAGCACTGGGCATGGGTTACCTCATTCAATATGTTTTTTTTTTCCAGGTTTATCCACTTACTTGAAAGTTTTTTGATTTCCCTTTTTTTTTACAGTTGAGTAATATTCTAATGTATATATGCACCATGCTTTTCTCATCCATTCATCAGTTGTTGGACATCTTAGTTGATTCAATTTCTTAGCTATTGTGAATATAGCAGCAATGAACTTGGATGTGTAAGTGTCTCGATAGTAGGGGATAAAGCCTTGGGATAATAAGGTACTTCTATTTTTATTTTTGTGAGAAGACTCCAGACTGATTACTTAAGTGTCTGAATTAGTTTATACTCCCACCAGCAGTCTAAAAGGCTCTGCCTTTCACCAGATCCATGTCATCATTTGTTGTCCTTTCTATTCCTGGTCATGACTATTAGGTCAGACAGAACCTTAAAGCAGTTTTAATCTACATTTCTATGGTAGCCAAAGATACTGAACATTTCTGTTTTTCTAGTCATTTATATTTCAAATTTTGAGAATGTTTTATTCATTTTCATATGCCATTTTTATTTTAAGCTATGTTTCAGCTTATTTATAAAAATACAGTTTACATATTAAATAACATTTAATAGAGTGGCAACATAATTTTAAACAAAAATTAAAAGGGAAAATAAATAGATTACAGAATCCATTCCCCCAAAGTGTTTATCCCATTTTCATTTGGGTTGCTTGTTTTCTTTTCTCAATTTCTTTTTATTGAATTTTTGTGTATTTCATACAGAACATCTCAGTCTCAACCATCCTTATACCTCCTTCTCCAGTGGCACCCTTCCATGCCACTCCCCCCACTGGACTTCATATATTCTGTCATTGATATCTAGATTTTTGGCATTTTTTTGTTTATTTGAGATTTAAGTTCTCTGACAGATATATGTCTGGCAAAGTTTTTTATGTCATTCTATGGGCTACCTCTTTAGTCAATTATAGTTTCCTGCACTACATAGAAGCTCTTTCATTTCATGAGGTCCCATTTATCTGTTATTGGCTTACTCACTGCATGACTGTAGCCCTATTCATAAAGTCCTTACCTGTGTCTAAAGATTGAACCTTACTCCCAGCAAGGCAATTAAATACAAAAAGTTTCTCAGGTAGTCAGGTAGGTTTGGGGCTTTTTGCCTACCTTCCCTGACCACCATGTTGGCCTTTTGTTTGCCTTGACCTTGTGTATATTCTGTGCATGCTGTCAAAACTGTTGTGAGTTTACATGTGCAACTTCCCTACTATCTGGAAAATATTGTTTTCTTGTGGTCATTCCCCAATAATCTTTGTACCCCTTCTTCCACAATGATCCTTGAGTCTTGGGTGAAGAGAATGTGATACAGTTGTCCCATTTAGGACTGAGTACTCTACAGTCTCTTATTTTTGACACGTTGACCAGTTTTAGGTCTCTGTGTTAATCTCCATCACTGCAAAGAGAAGCTTTTTGAGTGAAAATTGAGAAATGCACTAATCTATGGGTATACCATTAAGTGATTAGAGGTTGGTTTAATACTATGTCTATTTAGCAAAATAATGGCAATTGGCTCTCTCCTGAAGCCTGTGACTTGTTTAGCAATAGGTTTTTTGTACTGATAAAAGTCTCAGGTATGGACTCCATCTTGTAGAGCAGTCCTTAAACCCATTCAGAAAGTGATTCATTCCTCTAACAACATTAGTGCCAATATTACATGAGTGGGAATATCTTGCCACACATCAATTATTGTAGCTCACAAGGTTCATGGATGGGTAAGGCTGAGGATTACTTTTCTCTTCTGGTGTTATTCATATTATTATTATATCAGCACTATGAAAGCTAGCCAGTAGAGATGGAGCTTCCAGGTCAGTACCGATTTGACTACTCTTTGTTCTATGATGCTCATATGGAGTTTCTTCAGCAATAGGGTCTTACCAGAAAATTATAGCCATCATTATTTGAGGGCCTATAGGACCCCCTTTTCAACAATTCCAAAAGAGAGATTTTATTCCTTACATTTGTTTTGTTATTTGATAGTCTGTGGGTGTCTGTTGGGGTACTGTACCCCAATTATAGGGTAAATCCATTTAAGAAGTGTCTGTATTATCATCTTACCATGTGACTTTTTCAATAAGCATTTAGTGCAAATTAACCCTGCTCATACTTATTCCTCTACCCTGTACTCCAATTCCCCATTTATATCATTGCATTTTATCTCATGAAGCCCCTCCCCTAGATGGTACCTTGAAATTCATCAACTCTATGTATTTTCTTATTGAAATAACCATACCTAAAGGTGAAAAACTAACATCACTTATAAGAGAGAATATGGGACATTTGGATTTCTGGATCTGGCTTGCCTCACACAGGATGATTGTTTCCAGTTCCATTCATTTATCTGTGACTTTCTAAACTTTATTTTTCTTAACAGCTGTATAATATCCCATTTTGTAAATGTACCATACTGCATTATCTATTCATCAGTTGATGGGCCAGTGGATACATTTTGCCAGCCCAGTTGTGGTATCTCACAGAATTCACAGGTATGCTAAATTTACATTTACCTGTGAATTTCAGAATTCGTTTAAAAGCTGAAAAACATGCCAAAGTGGAACTTACCACGCTTTCATCATCCATTCATCTGTTGATGAATATCTTAGTTGTCCTGGACATTATGAAATGAGGAGCAATAAACATGAATGAACAGGTGTTTCTGTAGTAGGGTATAGAGACTTTGGGATTTATGCCCAAGATTGGTATTACTGGATCAAATAGAAGGCCAATTTCTGCTTTTCGAGGAATCGTCTCACTATTTCCATAGTGGCTGCACCGTTTGCACTCACACCAAAAATG